ATTATCTATAGAACGTACCCCATTCAATAAAGGGGCGTACACATGATCGTTATATTACAAAAGTATTAATAAATTCAAAAATGTTACTTTTATTTATTTATTAATATTAGACCAGGGTAGAAGCCTTTAAAAATAATAAAAAGTGAAAAAAATAATAATAGAAGGATGCGACCCGTTAGAAAAGGAGGGGAATATTATAAAAATGAAAGGAAAAATAATTACTATTATTTTTTTTGGTTTTAAAAATGATCGACCCTGGTCTATATCTACTTCAGTGCAAAATAAAATGGTACATATAAAAAAAATATATTAACAAAAATAGAAATGTGCAAAGACGGCTTTATTATTATATATCAGTCAATACAGAAGCATTGCAGAAGATGCATAAAGTGCAAGTTATTTAAAACTTAATGTAACAAGCGCGGCATGTTTGTTGATTCTAAAACAAATTTATATGGTAAAGAGTGCATATTTCACTATATATATATATATATATATATATATATATATATATATATATATATATATATATATATATACGCGTACATATGTACATACGTTTAACACCTCCAGGTAAATATCTAAGAAATTAATTAAATTTCTAAGAAATCTACTGTTAACTGTAACGCCGGCGTGTTCGCGGTCGTTGAGGGATGAAGGCTTTAATATGCTATGTATTCAGTATTTTTTAACGTTCTACTGCTGGGCATGGACCTACCTACTATACGAGAGGGATCAGGCCATAGTCCACGCTGGCCAAACTCGGGGCGGACTTTAAATGTTTTTCGAATACTTCCTAGTTTCTCTCAAACATGCAGATTTTCTCAAGATGTCTCCCTTCACTTGTCTTACAAATAGTAATACTTATTACTTAATCATGTTGAAAATTATTGGCACATGTAAATATCAGAGGTGCGAGACCCAGGATTTGAACTCACTTATATTGGATTCCATTATAAACGCGTTACCACTGGGCTCCCAAAAGTACCAGAAAAAATAGCTACTAGCTAGTCTTAGTAGCTAGCCAGCTCACGAGCTATCTCCATATAGATTGTAGAATATCACTTTCATATTGACGACAATTTTATTTCATATTCATCGTCACTACATAGTATAAAAAAAAAAACATACAGTCGAATTGAGAACCTCCTCCTTTTTGAAGTCGGTTGAAAAACTCGCTTCCCGCAGTCTTTCTGTCCCTATGTATGCTTACATCTTAAAAACTACGCAACGGATTTTGATGCGGTTTTTTTAATAGATATAGTGATTCAAGAGGAACGTTTATATGTATAATACATGCATATTATAGTACAGAAAAGCCGAGAAATTCAAAGATTTCTATTTCATACTAACCGTTAAAACGTACCTAGGGACGAACCCGTACGAAGCAAGGGAGAATCGCTAGTATGTGAATAATGTACGTACGTTTTCGAATAGATGGTCAGTATTGTTTAAAATTTCTCGCTGAAACTATTTTACATCAACCCAAGTAAATATAATGTGCACTAAACTTAAAAACGTCGATAAACGCATCGTCTCTAAGCCATCAGGATAGCGGCCAATAGCTTCAGCTGATAACCAGTTTAGTTTAACGCTGTTTAAGATACCTATAGCTTACTGAAGCTTACAAGAAATTTACTTTACACTGCACGATCAGGTGATACGATAAAAAATTTATATATGCAATTTCTAATTTATAACACTGCCTGTGCTGTTAATTGCGTTAAGCGCGTGTATTTGTAAGTCGAAAAATACTATTCCCGACGTTTCCAATGGGTCGCACCAGCCGTGTTCACGGGCCCTTTAGAATCCCATACCGTCTCTCTATATAGTAGAAGAGATGGTAAAAATATATATTATTTACTAACAACATACACTGACTTCGCTCGGGTTTATCCCTAGCTTGCTTCCCCATACAAGTTTTCATCCCCATTCTCACCCTCTTAAGGGATGATATCCGGGATAAAAACTATTTCACTCACATCACTCACTTCACATCCTAAGATTTAAAAAAAAACTTATTTGAGTAAAAAAAACTTTATAATTTTCTTCTATACAAATAATACTTGGCCTGACAATAACAAACATAATAAAAAAGAATTATCCAATTTGGTGCAGTCGATCGGAAGTTATGCGTGTAGATACATACCTATATTTCGGTGATTCATTTTTATTTTTATTTTCATTTTTATTTTATTTTTATATTTTTTATAGAAGATAGAATACAGCATATTATTAAAATTTAATTAAAAATAAAGATACTCTAAAAATAAAAAACTCAGAATATAGACACTAAAGATATATGATGTCGCATTGTGTAAGTCAGATGACGGACATCGGGCAATTTCGTGTTCCGCCAAACGGTAATGTATTTATAAGGGCCATCGTCCTAATTAACTACCTATTTATAACTATATCAGTATGGAGCATTCATCATTTACTTTACATTGGTTTTACGAGTATTTGTTAAATTTGATGTTTCGTATTACTTAAACATTTCTACTAATATAATAAAGGGGAAAGATTTTTTTGTTTGTTTGCTTGTACCGAATAAGCTCCGAAATTACTGGATCGATTTTAACCATTTTTTCACCAATATATTTTTTCACCAAAAGATAAATTGTAAGTAAGTAATTTAAGGAGCGAGGGTGAGTCGCTAGTCTTTATATATAAAAGGCAAAAGTGATTTACTGATGTATCAACGCACAGGCCAAACACTAAAACCCATTTCTCATATGACGAAGGCATCCACTAAGGAAGGATTTTTCAAAATTCAATCCCTAAGGGTGTGAAATAGGGGATAAAAGTTTATATGAACTTTTTATTCCTTGGACATATTTTGCATAGAATTTCGTATGGGCAAAAACAATGAGTTAAGTAGGTATTTCAGCGTTTTTTAAAATTCAACCTCTAAGAGGGTAGAGGCGGAACCGCGGGCAAGCTAGTATATTATAAATTCGTATATATATACCTAACTATGTAAAATAAAACTTTTTCAATTTATATTTGCAAAATGTTTTTAACTGTGATAACTGTTAAAATGTACAGAGCGCCAGTACGAAGTACAAACTTATTTTCCACCACTTAATAATTCGTAAAATTATGGAATTTCAGAAACGTGTTATTTTCTTTACTAAGAGTATTTTCTAAAACCAGAATATATTTTATGGGATTTATTTAATCTACTATAAAATCTGTGATGATGATGTTCTCCTGACCGATTCCGGCCACGGCGGCCAATCTCATCGAGTCAAGAGATCGCTAGCCAACTGCGCAGGAGATATTATAGTGCACAAGTGTACGCGCAGACAGGTGCACTCTCTGTTCCTGTCACTCTCATACTCCGGTGGGACAACTGCTCGACACGACCAGTGAGAGTTAAGGCGCAGGACCGACGGCTTTACGTGCTCTCCGAGCCACGGGGTGAATCACCGCCAATTTATACATTTTATGTATATATGTATAATGCCATCTATTGATAAGTAATTGAACCAATTATTCTTCATTCCTGGTGAGATCTAATGCTACTATTTTATGTTTTTTTTATATACTTTATACACACGTTTATTCCTTACAATTGTGACATAACAATAAGTTTAATACAGATTTATTAATTTGAAAAGTTTAATATTAGTTAATTTAAAATAGCCATTTTGTATTGAAGATATAACAATTTCTAAGATAACTATTTCCAAAGTAATAAATCTTCTTAGTCAACTAACGTCATCTATGATAATTTGAATGAATTTTGCAATATTATATTAAAACAAAAATGAAAATCTTTAGCCTGATATATAAAATTCTTTTAGAACCAATATTAATATTTTACATAGTTATAAAATGATATGTGCCTTTTATATTTAGCCATCAAATTATTAATAATAGCATAAAGTCAAGAGTTTTTTGAAGTGACAACTTCTATAGGCAGGTTTGGATGGGGAGTAAATTCATGCAAGTCGTCATCGACATGGTCACGTGACGTGTTAACGCTAACACTAAAGAGTGCCAGATGTCAAAACCAGATAAATGTAAACAGTTTTAATTTACAAATTTGAATATCCTAAAATAACTGTTTGTTAATAGTTTTAAGTTTTCGCTTCTGTTGGCAGAGCTCATGACTGGTTATTTTTTTGTAGTTATAGTGTGAGCGAAGCTGGGGGTTCTGCTAGTATTTAATGACTAAAATTAAGATATTTATTATTACTACTTTATTACCTAATCCTTAACATTATATACAAATTCAACAATCACCCAATACAAGTCCATTTACATAGTAGGTACATACAATATTAAATATATTCATTATTAATCCTTCCCAAGATATTAGCAGTTTAATTACATTTTCCCAGCAGTTGTTTCTAAATTAACATATGCAATTGACATTATTATTTAACTGTAACAAATCTAATTATGTTAATATAAAACAATATTGGTAGAAAATTCAATCTATACATTTTATATATTATACAAAAACTGAATAGTGGCCAACTGAGTTTTGCCAACTGGTCAGTTGCAAAAAGGCAGACTAATCGGCCGAGTAGTTGATTCCTGCCTCTAGGTTATATTTCTTTTAATAATAAATAGGTATATAGCGTTTGAAACTATGATTCAAATATAAATAATAAACAGGAGATTACATAAGTATGTTATTCATTCAAAGTTGTCAAAACTAATAATAATGATGGAACTTCATTTCAATCACCCCATTTTAAGAATAGTAATATAAACAAAAGTAATAGCCCAACTAGTTGTTGCTTTTTGCCAACTAGACGCCGAATATAAATATAGCCGGATTGGCTTTTACCACTAATCAGCCACTAGTTGATACATCTCTTATATTTACATTTAATTAAAATATAGAAAATATTGTACATCACATATTTGTATAATAAAATACTAACAAAATGCAATCAACTATATTTAATAAATATATTACTTACAGAAATATTTCAAATAAATGAGGATATTATTTTAAACAAAACCTTATTACAAATATTTTAATACACATGAACCATTCCATATATAAAAGTCCAAAATAACACATAAGTGAAAAGAGCTCCAAAGAACCCGTTGGTTAACAAGCTCTGTCTTGAAACAAAATATTTATGCCAATTAGGTCCAGCTTTTATCATAAACATGAACCATAGAATGAATACAGCGAATACATAGAAGGCAAAGCCATGCAATCCTGTTAATCCAAGTATACCTGAAAAATATTATTTAATCAATATTCATGATGTTTAGAATTAACAGTATGTGCTATCAATTTTTATTATCTTAGTTAAATTCATAAGTTAAAGTTTTACTAAAAGAAAATGACTTTTATTCAATTAACATATACAATTGACATAAAAAGGCATACTTCCCCTTATTAATGAAATATATTTTTGGAGACAATGAAATTAAATCTGTTTAGCTAATAGTTCTATATAGAAAATTATAGTCGTTTTCTTCTTTACCTGCGGTGGAGCCCGAGAGCGCAGCCATAGACGTTCTACAGTATTCCACAACAGCAGCGTTGTTTCTAAGTGCAGCCTCGCTATAAGCTACTGGTTCTGGTTTTGTATCTTTGAGTTTTATGGTGGACATTTTTATGTTTTATGAGATTTATTCAAAAAACAAATTAATTTACAATTTACAATACCTCTCTCCAACATGTAATTACGAATGTCACGCTTTGACAATTGACATTCGTAATTGACAGTTGATAGCATAACTTTAGTGTTACTAACTATAATAACATCATAATTAAAATATTTTATTGAAGCCTTTAAAACAAGAATAATGAATTGAATATTTTAGCCACAAACTGACTCTTATTGACCAGCTTTATTTGATTACCTATGACTTTTTCATTACGCGCTTATGCTAAGCTAAACTAAAAATAAATACACACATACATACACAGCTCTAAGACAATTTAATAATATTGTTATAACAATAAAGCAACATTCTGAAAGTTATAAATATTAAAATTATAGATTTCATTTATATACGTACTATATATTATAATAATAGCCGACTGTTGTGTACATAGTCATTTTACTTCTACTTTTAAGGCTTAAGGAACTTAGCAATCAGTTAGTAACAAACTAGGTATAGCCTAGTCTAGACCTAGATAAATTGTAAGCCTTAGAAATTAGACATTTATTTCACAATCCTTATGAATAATCAATAAGCCTATTATTATAACATATATAATAAAAAGTTTTTATCATGGATGACAAATAAAAATAAAAACTTAAAGAAATGATACATAGATAATAAAAGGTTTGCATCAGTGAGCACTGTATATAAATTTTTTCTTCATATTTAAGATTTGATATATACTTTTTAAATATTTAAATTACATAGTCTATTACTTGCACATTTTATAGGTGTACTATTATTTTTTTATGTAGGTACGCTTATTATTCAATATTATGCCAATGAACTGTTTAGAGTTTAGACATGTGTGCGTGAGTACATTCATAAGTCTGATGTTTGACACACACATAGACATTATTTTCATGGTGGTTTTCGCGGCACTAAGCGTCGTTGAACTTATTTTCCTTTTTTAATAAGAAATCAAGTGATATTGATTGTTTATGGCTATAACTAATTTAAGGTACCCATTAATAACGTGCAAATAGATATTACTAAATAAATTTAAAGGCAGTGAAGTATTTTTCTCATAATAATGAAACTGTGATGGCGCGTGGATGACGGCTATAGTAGATCCCTATTCGTAACAAATTAGGACTTTGGTCGAATTATACTAGGCGTTGGGAGTTTTAAGTAAACGACCTGTACCTGTATATTTTTAACTTCATAATAATTGTGCAAAGTGATTTTTTTGTCGCGTTAGTGATTTGTAAAAATAAAAATTAAGTTTTCGATTCTATGACTGGAGGTGTATATGAAGGATATCGTATCATACATTTCGTTTTGGTGAACAATATGGCAAATGTAACAAAGAAATGTTAACGTTTCCAATTAAACTGTTTCCTATATATTCTTATTCAATTAATCATTTTATATTGCATATTTCATTACATTTTTGCGGAAATTATTTGAATAACCTAGTTGACTGATATGCATAACTTCATTTCGATTTTTTTGTTTCAGAATTCAGACCTAGACCGTTTTTGGTGATTTGAATATAATAATAGGGTTTTGACATTGCATTTCCAATTTTTTAAGTCGAAATAGTCATGGTGATATAGATATACTTAAAAAAATAATATTGAAATTTTCGATCTTGTATTGAATGATATTATTACGTCAGAGTCATTATATAGCGAATGAGTGATTGTTCCAATATAAAATGGAGGAATCTGAAGACAATCTGAGTTCAGAGGATATCAAATATGAAGATAGCCAATCGAATGTCAAAGTTAAACCAAAAAAGCGGTCACTTGTAGAAAGGGAGTTGGAAACTAATTTAACTGCAAGAGTCACATCTCCTATAACTAACAGAGATGCAGCAAGTACAAGCCGCTATGGCAGAGCCCGCAGAATAAAAATGGATTCTGACTCAACCGAAACAATACCGAGATCTGTCAAATCTCCTAAATTACCAAAATCGCCAAGTAAAGTCCAATCTCCCGCATACAAAATGCATGCCTCTAATTCCCCTATTAGAGTTGAGACTCCAAAGCAAATTGAATATTCATTAGAAAATCAAATTGAAACAATTTATAATGAGAATATATCCTTGAGCCGTTTTGGTTCTGAAGAAAAGAAGTGCCTATCAACCAGTAAATATCCTAAAGTGTACATTCGAAAAGACCTAATACAAACAAAGGATAAAGACCCTGATGACACTGTTGTTTTAATAAAAAACATGTTTTCACCTAGTAATAGTGGCAAAAAAACTAACAATTTTAACTTAGAACATTCTTCAGAAAAGTATAATATGAATAAAAGCAAACAATCATTAAATGGATACACCAAAACACCATCTGTTGTGAAAACTTTAGATTTTGATGGAAATAAAAAGAAAAGGAATATTGAAAGAAAGGTAGTTTTGTCTAAAAATGAGTTATTTGAGTTAGAAGCCAAGTGTGAATACCAAGTTGGGGACTTGGCGTGGGCTAGAATGGGAACCTATCCATTCTGGCCATGTATCATAACAAGAGATCCATTGAGCGGGATGTATGTTAAAAAGAAATGTAAGTATATTTTTTTAATCTCATTTTAAATATATTTTTTTATGAATTTTATTAATTAAATTTAATGATATTAAATTAAATCTAAGTTATGTAATAATAATACCATTTTAAGAATAATAAATGTGCAATTAGCTTGAGTTTTGCATGCTGTGATAAGATATAAATAAATATATTTTTTAAACTTTTGTATGTAAATGCGTCATGCGAATAGATAATTTATTTTATTAATATTTAAATCAAAAGAAAACATTTTTAGTCCTTTAAACCTTTTTATATTTGAACCAATATAAGAAATATGTTATTGTAAACTATAATAAGAAGTCAAAATTTTCTTTGTGAGTTATACTTTTAAAACATCGTATAAATTTCTCTTCAAAAATGTTATAAGAGATCATGCAATAATATAATTAGTTACATCTTTATATTAAAATTTCACTCATTGTTTTTGCATTTATTTTATTATAGTGATTCTTTCATAGATCCATGCAAATATTTGATATTTTTAATAAAACTATCTTTTTTTTCCTGACACAAGAACACACACAGAGGTGAAATTTAAGTAATTTATGGCCAATATTGATAAAAATTAAGTTAATGAGGTCAAAAAGTAGCAACAAGACATATGATGCCACCTATGTATGTTATCTGTAAAAGTTTGCCACTTTTTATTTAATTACCCACACATTTGATTTGAACAGTGATTGCTTAGACAGTAATTTATTACAAATTTTGAATATTTGTTTGAATAACATTAAATATTTTATTTTGTAAATATTAGGATTAAAAAATTCTTGATTCTGTATAAGATTCTAATGCTTTACAGCAGTCATGGTCACAGGAAATACTACCCCATTACATAAAAAGATAGTTTTATTTAAGATACATTAAAATTATCTATACATAAACTCAATGTATTTCAACATCAGTTTATACTTCCTCTAATACTTAAGACATAAAAGTACCATATGCGGTTCACATGTGTCACAAACATATTAATCCTTGAACAATTTATGTTTGTCTTGATTTCAATTTGTCATCATTCTAAGTAGGTATTTTTTTTAACAAACTAGTTATTTTCATTTTTTTTGCCTTTTTTTATTTAAAATTAATATTGAAAAAAAAAACATATTTTTTGTGAAATAAGTAATGAAGATTGCTGGATTAATCTTAAAATAAAATTATTTTAATTTTAATATATGGAATTAACAGAAATTAATCATTTTTATATTGCATAGATATATTTATTGCAATAACAAATGATTCAATTAAAAATGTAAATGTGACATTCAACATGCTTGTAAAATTGTGTCAATTATACACAAGCAGGGCTTGAAACGATAATTATCATTGATAATTATCTTTGATAATTATCATGATAAATACGGGTTGATAGTTATCTTTGATAAATATAATTGAAAATATTTCATTTGTATCTCTTCGAATTGTTGATCAGCTAACTGAACTCTCTCAATCAGCTCAACAAACCCAATCAGCAAACTGAGTTAACGCAGTTAAGGAGTCTGTCCACTACCCGTCTCATCGATAACCATTGTGTTAGACGAGGAAGAAAGAGAATAACATCAGTCGATCACGACGTTATTAGGTTCACGCCGTTTTAAATAAAATTGTAATTTAAAAGAAAATATTATCACTAGAAGACAAGTGACAACACGTTTATAACGGGTTTAGAACGACTTGCCGACAAATATTGTTATTTTCCATGCACGGTACGCGACGGTGTTGGTTGGTGACGGAAAGGTCTTGGTCGGTGATGGAACGGTTTAGTGGGCATAGTCTCATACTTTTCAATACAAAGGATATTTTTTTGCCTGACACGGCCCTAACACGGTCATGGTATGAGACGATATAGTGGGCAGAGACCTTTAATTAAATTAAATAGTGTCTATACAGTAAGTTAAATTTATTCCGTTTTTATTTCCAAGTTTGTATATGTCAAAATAATGAAAAAATAATAATAATAAAAGATTACCTTGATTGTTAAAAGTGTATAATTTATTCTAACGTAAATTATGATATGCAAGTAGTCAACTACCAATACCTACACAAGGATTGCTAAGTTTATATCTGTTTGATAATTATCGGATAATTATCTGATAATTATCTTAATAATTATCGCGATAATTATCAAATGATATATTTATCTTGATAATTTCATACCCTGTACACTAATCATGATTTGATTAAAATTGTAATGTTTTTAGAATCATTTAATAGTGCGAGTTAGCTAATTTTTTCATTGATCAGATTCTTAAAAAAGATAGGTAACTTATAATGCATATAATTTTTATTGTCATATAAATTTTGCCTATAAAGGCTTTGTATATTTGCCTATAAACTCTGAACAGTGAAGAGGCTGTAAGTCACATAGACCAAAGCACTGACTGCTAAAAATGTCACATTTTTATAATTTAGATTAAACAGTATCTAAATATAACTATAGTTTGATGTAGTCTTCTCTACAATACATATAAAGTATTTACGTCAAACTAGATTGTCCAGGGCTAAACTAGTATATGCTGACACACTTTGGATGAACCGGTTTGGCCTAGAACAAACCAGCTTGGCCTGAAGTCTAGTGTGGCCTGTAACATATTATAGTTTATTCTTGTTTATTTACAGTATTTGGTCGGATTGAACGTGATGTATTGCATGTGACATTCTTTGGGGATAACGGGCGTCGCGGCTGGATCGTGGACAGTATGCTCAGGAAGTTTCATGGTCAACTGGAATTTGAAACGGCTAGGGTGAATTTTACTCCAGAGGTTCGATTTTTATTATGTATCCATTATTTTTATTATCCAGATTATTTTTTGTAATTTTTACATTTATTTGAATGTTTAAATTTTTTCAGGCTAAGAAAAAAGACCCCAGACTGTATGCAGCATATTTTATATCAGATAAAAAATTGTCTCAATGGCAAATATCAGTTGAAGAAGCAGAAATGTTACTGAGAGAACCTAAACGACTCAGAATAGAGATCCTAAATGATATGTTAGAAAAGTCAAGATCTCTAAAAACTACACCAAAACTAGAAAAAAGTAAAAAAGTCACAAGAACTAATAGTGATGTATCATTGAGTGAGAGTTTGTATGATACTTTGTTTTCAGAAAAAGACTTTACAACTAAAGATTCAGAGAGATCTAGAAGTAAAAGTAGGAACAGATCATTAGATGTCTCTGAGGTTGTTACGGCGTGTTTAGACAATATGGCCGCCAAAACAGGTATTACGAAAATCCAAAGACAATCGCACATGGACAGATGGCTGCAGAAGGCAAAATCGAAAACCCCAGAAAAATCTCAAATGAAATCTCAAGTAAAAGTAGATAATAAAAGTGCCAAATCAAAAACAAAACAAAAGCCCAAAGAGTCAAAACGAACTTATAATTTTAGATCATCCAGTCAAGAATCTCTGGAAGAGAATAAATTGCAATCACATCAAAATGAACATGATTATAGTCAAAAGTCCAAGGAAAGAAATAGTCCGGTAATATTAGATGACGTAGAAATTGAATATGAGAATGCAGACGGAGTTTTATCAGACTCTGTTGAGTCTGGGTCTGGTCTAGGTATTATATCTAAAGTGGAAACTCTTTGCGGCAAGGACCAATTCAATGATGAAGAAGATATGATATTGACAGTTGTTAATGATGAAATATATATAAGTGAAAGTGGTAACATTGGTGATGAAATATGCATTCAAATTAATCAGATAAAAGATATCCAAACACATAATAATTTAGAAGCTTCCGACATTAAAAGTACTATAGGATTAGAAAATTGTGATACAATTATAGCAATTGACACCAATAATGATTTAATGGAAACTGATGATCAAAATAATGAAGGTATATCAGAAATTAATGAAAATTTAACTCAAATTAAGAATAATATAGCAACTAATAGTAAAGCACATGAAGAATTGAGCGAAAATATAAATAATGAATGTATGGACGTGAGTGAATCGCATATGAATATGACAAGCAATAGGGACCAATTAGAAAATAACGATTTAAATGTAGAAAATAATGAAAACGTTGCATTTAATGATCATGAAGCTATGGACAGTACTAAAATGTCTGTAGATGAATTCATGGATGTTGATAATGAAAATGAAGGCTGTGTAAAAGACAAATGTGAACTTAGTGTTGCTAAAACATTAGAGCAAATTGAAAAAGAATGTAATTTAGACAGTACAAGTTTAATAATTAATGACAGAATGTTAGAAACAGTTGATTATGCAACTAATATAAGCAATTCTCACGAAATCACAGCAGAAAATAACAAAGTTAATCAAAAAAAAATCAGTGACTATCTTGTTGAAACACGAACTACGGAAATAAATATGTCACAAACGATAGAAGAAAAGGTACCACAAACAAAAAAAGAAGATATACCACAACCTAAAGAAGAACATATACCACAAACAATAAAAGAAAATTTACAACAACCTATAGAAAATATACCGCAAATAATAGAAGAAAATGTACCAGAAACTATAGAAAACATACCACAAACAAAAGAAGAAATTGTTCCACAAATAATTGAGGAAAATTTGCCACAAAATGTAGAAGAAAATATACCACAAACTGTAGAAGAAAATGTACTACAAACTAAAGAAGATGATATACCACAAACAGTAAACGAAAATGTTACACAAATCGTAGAAGAAAATATATTACAGGCTATAGACAAAAATGTATTAAGACCATTAGAAGGAGATGTACTTCAAATAGTAAGAGAAAACGTGTCTAAATCAATGGACGACGTTGTACTACAAACAACTGAAGAAAATATACCGAAAATAGTAGAAGAAAGAAACACACAAGTTGATAACCATTTTTTTGAGTTGGGCACAATAGAAAGTCACGCGAAAAAAAAGAAAGATGCATCTATTGTTAATGTAAGCCCATCAAATAAAAATACGTCAAAAAAATTACACAAATTTAAACTATCACTAAATAAATCTTTGGAAAAAGATAGCGATGGCATCGAAAATGTAGAAACGGCTGTGATTGGTTGTAATAGTCCAAAAGAGCATTCCGTAGAAAAGGAATCTTTGAAACTTAATGGTTATTGTATTAATCAAATGACAAGTAAAAGAATAAATGATGTAGGATCTGTAATCAGTTCACATTATGCTAAACAAATTGAAATCACCTGTGAAAAAGACAGTATAATGCATAATACTCCTTACCTAGATGAAGAAATAAATAGAGATATAGTTGATGAAGAGGAAAATATTTCTTGTGATAACAAAAAAATGGTATTTAAAAACATTATAGGAGAGAAAGAAAAAGAAGTAAAAGACTCAGTAAAACCAATAGAAAAAGTGTCAGAAAACGAAACAGCCTTAGTAAATGGATGTCATGAACCTGTTCATATAATACCAAGTATCATCACTAACGAAACAGATAACATATCTTTGGATGAACCGGTTATGCTAAACGGTTACCATGATGATAATGATGCGGACACTAACTCTATCGGTGATAATGACGAACCACTGTCGGCTTATCAATTGCGATTAAAAGCTAAGCAATCTGAAGGAAATGCGAAAATGTTTGATCTACAAAAACCTGAAGTATTAAATGAAGATATAGATAATTTGTCAGTAAAATCGGGAGACAGTGAAATGTCAGTTGGAAGAAGAAAACGCAAATTAATTGAAAAGAAAAATATTTTGGAGGATCCGGAATTTTTAAAATATTTAGAGATCAGACAAGATGCTTTGATGGATGAAAATCCAGAGCTCACTGAAGAAGAAATTACTAATTACCTATACAAAACTTGGTTATATGAGGAAGGTTTAAAAACGGATGCCAAAAAAGCCGACGATATTGATCAATCAAATTTAGTCAAAGGTCTTAATGCAGATCCGGTACCAGTGAAAAAGATAAGAAAAAAGATTAAAACAGAAAAAGACAGAGAAAAAGATAAAGAACCTAATTTGGAAAAAGAACCAATACCTAAAGAAAAGTCCAAAAGAAGAATCATTAGGCCATATTATAAAGAAGATTTCTCAGATATGGATGATGACATAGAATATTATGAAATATTTAAACCTAAACAAAAAGTGCCAAAAATAATAGAACCTCATAATACAGATGAAAGAGAAGAAGTGATTAAAGAAGAAAACTTCCAAAATGAAATAGGAACAGAAATACCAATAGAAGTTGACGAAGAATTTGTATCAGAAGAATTTGATCAAGTTGAAGAATATTTTAGACAACTGACAGAGCCTAAACCGAATTTGTTCAAAGGTCTTATAAGAGAAAAAGTTTGTGAAATATGCGAGAAATATGGTAATCTTGTCAAATGTAAAGGTTGTTATAACATGTTCCATGTCGATTGTGTGAAGAAACAAGTTGAAATTGTGGAAGTTTCAATACCCATGAGAGGGAGAAAGAAAAAAAAGAAAAACAGAGGAAGAAAGGCAAAAGAAGACTGTTTAGACTCAGGAAGTCAAAGTGATGAGAAATCTCAAGATGCCAATGTTTCAGAGGAACATAATATGTCCTTAGATAATGAAGAAGACTGTCATATAACAGCAAACGAAGATGAATTTGAAAATAAACTATCAGCTAAAATGAAAGAGTTATTAGAAAATCCGGAGAGTATGGAATACGATTCGGATTCGAATGACGAACACGATTTCGCGGACGTCAATATCGGTGAATGTAAAATCGTGGACGTGAAAGAGCGTAAAAAGGAACAAAACGACTATTCCGATTTCAAATGCAACAACTGTCAAAAATATGACATACCCATATGTTTTGTTTGTAAATCGCCCATGTCTCCCAAAGACAAAGCTGAGCATAGACAAAAGTGTCAAGTGGCGCATTGCCATAAGTATTACCACATGGAATGCCTCGATCACTGGCCACAGACGCAGTTTAATGGGGGAGAACTTTCGAGAACGGACAAAGGGAATAAGTATTTCGAAACGTTTTCTTGTCCACGCCATGTTTGTCACACGTGTGTATGCGATGACCCCAGAGGCTGTAAGACTAGATTTAGTGGGGATAAGTTAGCGAGATGTGTCCGATGTCCAGCAACTTACCATACATTCACAAAATGTCTGCCTGCCGGTAGTCAGATTTTAAGCGGCTCCCATATAATCTGTCCTAGGCACTATGAGCATAGGTAAGAGACAATTTTAGTTTTTTTTTGTTACTAAATAATTCAATTGGACTTTGTTAAACAGTTTAATATTCAATTGAAATTTTGAACTTAGAACTTTTCAAATTTCGCTTTCCCTTATTTTTTTTTTAATTTTTAAAAAAATATGTTTTACTACAATAACTTGTGCATTTCTTTATTGTATCTGGGGCTTGGAACCGGTTTTATAAAAAAACGATTTATTTCGGTAATGTAATAGTTAAGTCATCGCTCGTTCTTTAACCGGTTAATAAAAACTATCGCTTTAGTAAACCGAAATAAGAATGATTAACGGTTTGATACCGAAATAAACCGGTTAATGACCAAAACCGGTTTAAAATTGAATCGGTTTTCGAATCCTGATTGTATCTATTATATCGGTTTATTTTTTAAATTAAAGGAAAAGAAAAAGAAGAAACGGTAGTGCCTATACTATATAGTGCTTCCTGGTTAATCAGACACTGAATATTAGTAAGAATTTCTATATTCTTATTCCAGGCCCGGTAAAGTCCCTTGTCATGTGAACACAGGGTGGTGTTTTATATGTGCGTTGGGCGGATCGCTGATATGCTGTGAATATTGTCCCACTTCCTTCCACGCTGAGTGCCTTAATATTAAACCTCCGGAGGGTAAGATATTTATCTACATTTATTAATCTACACTACTATTATAAAGAAGTAAAGTTTGTTAGTTTGTGAGTTTGTAATGGATAAACTAAAAATTCGGTAAACCGCTTTAAATGAAATTTGCTATGAAGATAGTTTGCGAGCCTGGGAAGGACAATCGTTTGTTATTGTCAAATAAAAAGTCAGAAGGCTCAAATAAAAAGTCAGTCAGGCTTACGCTTGCTTCGCTCGGGTTCGTTTCTAGTGAAAAACAAAATCTTTAAAACATGCCCAGTAAAGATTTTTATTATTAAAAAAAAAATTGTATCTCTGTGCCACCTCTACAATCTATTCAGTCGTTCTAGCGTTATTAAGTAACAAACATCCATCCATCCAAACTTTCGCATTTATAACATTAATGGGATTAATGAGATTATATAAGAGGTAGTTTAATTTATTTGTATGGGATGCATATCTTTTTAAATGTTTTTTTTTAATTATTAGGTGGTTACATGTGTGAAGACTGTGAGACTGGCCGTCTACCGCTGTATGGGGAAATGGTTTGGGTGAAACTTGGACATTATAGGTAAGGTTTTATATTTTAAATAGCAAAAGACTCGAAATTGTTAGTTTTAATGTCCATTTAAAAAAAACGCTTTTGTCCAACTGTAAATATTTGTTCAGTCAGTGGGTTTAAAGATCGATTTTATTTTTTTGATATTTTAAGAAATTCAAACTGGATTTATAAAATAAAAAATTTAATATCGTCCACAGAAAATTTATTTGAAAATTTTTACAAACATTTCAACACTTATAATCCAAACGAAATAATTAGTAAATGATAATAATTAATAGTAATGTGTAAAAAATATAATCAATTTAGACTAGGTCCTAAGCATCAAATCTCATGTATACTGAGGGGACATCGTTGATATATCAAAAAAAATAATCTCGAGAGTATTATATTTTATAAGTGAAAATATGTAAATGCCCTTTTTAAATGTATATTTCTTGTTCTTATATATTTCTTGTGGGGTGCAATATAGTCTCCATTTTATAATAACTGTAGCGTTAATCTCACGTGAGGGGGAAGGGAGTGGGGATCTAATTTTTTTTAACTATATTACATTTAACTGGAGTATTTGATTAGGTTGTACAATGTGCATGGAACAATATCCATTGTTGCCATTTATTTATTTGTTCATTCTTTTTTAGTCTGGTATCATTATGGTGTCATAAGGTGTTGTGGTGCTTTTCTCTTCAAATAATTTAAAATGATTAATAATTAAATTTTTTTATTTTTTATTTCAGATGGTGGCCCGGTATTGTACTTCATCCATCGGAGATACCACAAAATATATTGGCAGTAAAGCACTCCCCCGGAGAGTTTGTGGTGCGGTTCTTTGGGCAGTATGACCACTATTGGGTGAACAGAGGGCGCGTTTTTCCTTTTCAAGAGGGTTGGTTATCTTATATAATTTTTATATTATTAATTGATTAAACAATTGTCTTTTTTGTTTCTATGTTATAAATTATTTTACATAGAAATTAGATTAAATTAATGAGTGTTTTTTTAATTATATTATGTTAGCGATTTACCCTCGCTTCGATCGGGTTCGTCTCTTAAAGAAAAAACAAATCCATCACACGAGAACCATACATTTTCCCGGGATAAAAGTAACCTTTGTGCTATTCCAGACTATAATCTATCTCTGTGCCACATGTGATTGAGTAACAAACATCCATCCATCTAAATTTTCGCATTTATAATATTTGTTAATGGGATTAGTGGGAGATATTATTTTTATGTAGCAACTGTTGAATAAATTAACGATATTTAATGATTAAATTTTGTTAACTATATTTATTATTTTTAATTATATAAATTATATTTATTTCAGGTGACTCTGGTAAAGTTTCCAGCCAGAAGTCTAAAATCGATGCGGCTTTCACAATGGCAATGGAGCACGCGCAAAGAGCTTGTGAAATATTAAAAAGTATGTATATACTAGTTACAAATATATACATAGGAATAAAAGATAGCATAAGTCTGAGCCTATGATGTAATCCATGCCCTAGTCAAGTTTCATCGAAACATGTTTAGCGTTTTAAATAAAGTTTTTTTTAAAACACTAAAAAAATGAAAAAAATAGTTATCTTTTCGAATTTTTTGGCGGATTTATTTTGATTTATGATTCCCGACCTTTTTTACCTTACATTATTTTTTAATTATTTTTTTTTTATATTTTAATAAGATTTGTATTGGTATATTGTAACATTATTTATTGAGCGGTTTAAACGTGAAATAGTGACAGACATAACAGGCGTTGAATATTGAGTACCATTTAATTCAAATGAAATTTAGGATCAAAGGAATTTATAGAGGCAAAAAAAAAATATCCATGTTCTTCTTGAACTGTATCAAATTTTTTTTAAAAATTTCATTTTTAGAATATTGAATCACTTTTATTGATTGAGTGGTTGGTTTTCACTGCTTTGAAACGGCTTGACCGATTTTAATGTTTTTTTTTTTGTATATTTGGTAGGTATGAGTATAGGTTGTAAAATATTCTTCACCCTCCTACCCTCCTCCCCCCATTTTTTAATCGCGATTTTAGTATTTTTGTATAAACAATATTATATAAATACATACGCTGTATAGCATAAAGCCAAAAAGTTTTTCCTTGTAGATTGAACTCGGGCGTAGCCGCGGATTGTGCTAGTATTAATATTACATTTTCCCACAGCAGCACAACCAAACGAAGAGGAGTCACTGGACATTGCGTCATCCCTCTTGCCTCCGCACTACGTCAAGTTGAAAGTGAACAAGCCGTGCGGCGCGCTGTGCGGCCGCAGGGTGGACCTAGAGGAGGGGTCGCTCACGCAGTGCGAGTGCGACCCGCACGATGGGGACCCCTGCGGACCCTACACTCAGTGTTTGAACAGGTACGCTCGGTAGTCTTAAGTCTAGTGGCTAGCTGCTGGGTCCTAGGTTTAAATTCAGAGTGGACCTCGAGGAGAGTTAACTCATGTAGTGCGTGCGACCCCACCTATGAATGATACAATGATTTTATATTTTTTTTAGTATTGCTTTTTCCATATAAAATAGAAATTTCATATGTAAGGACCTAATATATTTTTATATGTTAATACCAGAATGTTACTAACTGAATGCGGTCCGACGTGTCGAGCCGGGGATAGATGTAATAACAGAGCGTTTGAAAAACGCCTATATCCAAAGCTAACCCCCTACAGGACCCCGCATAGGGGTTGGGGGTTGAAGACCTTAGTTGATATTAAAGCAGGTGAGACTATCTTTTGCGTCGCTTTTCTTCTCTTTATCCATTCTTAATATATTTTTTTTGTTTGTTCATTTGTCCTATTTTCACGTTGAAACAGAGTGACGGATTGGCGTGATTTTTTGTGTGGAAATAGATGGAGGGTTGGAGAGTGACATAGGCTACTTTTTACCGCGGGAAAACACTGAAAATACAACTCAAAAAATTATTTATGATCAGAATCACTTGAATCTTGGTATTTAATGCTCTTCGATACAATTAAATAAATACCTGTTTTAGCATTTTTCGAAATTCATCCGATAAAAGGGGTAAAATAGGGTATAAAATTTTTGTATGAAACCTACATTTTGAAAGTATGTTTTGTAGTTTTAACACAAGCGAAGCCGAGGGTTCTACTTGTATAATATATAGTGTATAGTCCATTTATTCCATATCAACCGTTAAAACGTACGTAGTTTATTATACAACTATGATATTTTAAAATGACAATAATATTTTCAGGGCAATTTGTAATAGAGTATGTCGGAGAGTTGATAGACGAAGACGAGTTCCAAAGACGTATGAAGAGGAAACACGAGGTCCGGGATGAGAACTTCTACTTTCTTACTCTGGACAAGGAGAGGGTCATCGATGCTGGGCCTAAGGGGAATTTTGCTAGGTATTGTTTTTCTTGAATTAAATTTCTTTTTTTGGAGTTATACTTCTTTTTACGTTCGTACATAAGTACACGCACACGTTTTTTTTGCAGTTTTGTTTTGATTTTTGTGGTTTTTCCTTTGTTTTCGAATGCTTTACAGCAAATATGGTCATATGAGAGATTAAGATCTTAGATGTTTTAAAAGAATAGAAGAATTGTCTTCATGTTTCATGTTTAATATTTTTTTTTATTGACAACCTTATTTTACCGACCAATCTCCTTCTTATCTTATCTTCTCCATTCTACGTGATATTGGTGATGTAATCTCTGCTCAATTGGCACGCTTTGAAGTCATTGACAACAGAATTGAATTGTACTTTTTTACATAATAATCACTATTTAATGTTTATGTAAAGCATTCGAAACATGAGGATAAAACCTCTAAAAACACCGAGAAAAAATTATTTTAAATAACTTATTTTTTAACTTACTTTATTTCCAGGTTTATGAATCACTCGTGTGAGCCGAACTGTGAGACGCAAAAGTGGACTGTGTTAGGGGATATTCGAGTTGGTCTCTTCGCTCTATACGATATACCCGCTGTAAGTTGTTTGCTTGTTTGTTTAGATGTTTAGTATGTAATTGAAACATATAAGCAAAATTACAAAAATAAAAAACCCGACTGCGTAAAAAGCGAACTAAAAATATGAATGCAAGTTGACGAAGAAACATAGTATTATGCAGTCAGAGACATACACACATAGCAAGACTCGCAGTTAGTATGTACAATGTACATTATGTCTACATATATACATACATGTCAAACACATAACCCTCCTTTGGGCTTTGCCGCAGTTGAGTAATTACATAGTTGTATTTTTTTTATTATAATACTAGTTGACCTGACAGGATTTGTGCTACATATTACAATTTCAATTAAATTTCTAAGTTCAAAAATGCTACAGAGAAAAGTATATTTTAATTTTTTGGTGAATTTCACAATTTTCCGAGCAAATTTTCCATTTCATAATTGTGATCGGTGATCTTGCAGCATTAAGGTAGAAGATCCAGAGATTCTGGTTTCGAGTCCCGGGTCGGGGAAAGTTTAGTTTTTTGGTCGAGCAATTCGTAGTAACAGCCTGGAGCTATGTGCTATTCCAAACTGTAATCTATCTCTGTGCCAAATTTCATCCAGATCCGTTCTGCCGTTCTGGCGTGATTGAGTAACAAACATCCATCCATCCATTCTCCCAAACTTTCACATTTATAATATTAGTAGGAAGTGGGATAAACATTTTCTTATATTAATCTTATTTTTACAGAATAGCGAACTTACATTCAATTATAATTTGGAGTCTGCTGGGATAGAGAAGAAGCGATGTATGTGCGGGGCGAAGCGATGTTCTGGGTATATAGGTGCTAAGCCGAAACAGGTGAAATGTTTATTTTTATATAGTTTGATTTAATGATAGGGCTCAAACGTGTAGGTGTGAACTAAAATATTTATATGTAATTTTATTTATGACGAGATAGGTTATAGGAACTATCTATTCTAGTGGGTTAAAACCCCGCATATTTTCATTTGCGAATCATTTCCAACTTGATTACCTTACGGTGAAGGAAAACATCGTGAGGAATCCTGCATGTCTGAGAGTTAATGTAAGAGTGCTAATAGGTTTTAGAAAGACATGTAAAGTCCGCCAACTCGCCGTTGGCCATCGTTATCGACTATGGCCTGATCCCGTTAAACGTTAAAGGGGAACAATTATATATATTTTTTATTTTCAGGATGACCAACCAAAGAAAAATAAACTACAAACAAAACGAACATACAAAAAGAGAAAAAATTTGGACGACTCACCATCAACCAGCCAAAAACCTAAGAACCGAATAGGCAGACCTTACAAGCCGAGAGAACTGACTGACATAGAAAAAGATTTATTAATAATTAAAAACGCAACAAATGCAATGTCTAGTGATTCAGAATGCAGTGGACGTCTCAGTAGTTTAGATAGTACGAAAGATAACAAAAATTTAAAAAGAAAAAAGATATTTGAAGATATATCCCCGAAAAGAATCAAAATGGAGTCAGAATGAGTGTGAGTTGCAATGGATCAATATGAGTCTGAATGAGTCGGGTTGAATCAAATGAATTCGATTGTATAAATTATGGATTTATTTACGTGTATATAAACGCTTTACATATCAGCTGCTAATAATTACGTATTCAAATTAGTTTTGTGTTTTATTTTGATTATATGTACATATATTGTACTAGCATTGCCCGCGGCTTCGCCCGCGTTTTAAAAACCATATTCTTAGGCTTTACATATTAGTATACTCTTACAATGCAGTTTTTGTATTTTTTCTCAGAAATAAGATCTTATAAGTTGATCCGGATAAAGAGCTATCACCATACCAAATTTCATGAAAATAGATATATTTCGTTATAGTTTTATATTTGTACATTTTTATTTTTTATAATACTACGAGTATCTTGGGTCCAAGCGAATTCTCAAATATTCGCTTAAAAGCAACATAAAAATGCCGAAAAATATAGTTTCTATTAAAACTTTTTTATTTATTGCAACCCTACCCATTGATATAAAATTGCATCGCAAACTGCCTCGGTGGTGTAGTGGCTAGCATGTACGATTGCACACCCGGAGGTCCTGGGTTCGAGTCCCGGGTCGGGCCAAGTTTAGTTATTGAGTCTTTCTGTAAAGTGAGTCTCAGTAACAGCCCGGAGTTGAGAAGTTGGCGGTGTGTCACCCCCGTGCCTCGGAGAGCACGTAAAGCCGTTGGTCCTGCGCCTTAACTCTCACTGGTCGTGTCTCGTGTCGTCCCACCGGAGTATGAGAGTGAGATGAATAGAGAGTGCACTTGTGTCTGCGCACACACTTGTGCGCTATACTATCTCCTGCGCAGTTGGCTAGTTTCAATGAGATTGGCCGCCGTGGCCGAAGTCGGTCAGGAGAACATGATTATAAAATTGCATTATTATATTATATACTGATTTTTAATTTATTATGCATATAAAAACGTTTGCACAGTTCCTAACACATAGCTTTTTAAAAAGTGGCGCGTCGTAAGAACGTTAAGTCGAACTAAAAAATAAAAACCAAAAATCATAAGTTATGATTTTATAAACAAATTCGAACTTACGTACAAAAGATAAAGTTATCGTGTTTTAAAAATATTACGTAAATTATTCTAATTATTCTACCTGACTCAAACCATTTCGGCTTTGAGTCAAGAAGAATAAAAGCTACATAGAATAGAATGGATTTTTTATTTTGTAAGAAAATTTGCAATTTGATAATATTGCTGTAAAAAAATCTATTATCATTAGGAATGGAATTTAAACTTCTTGTAATGGCTTCACCATTAAATATTATTACAAAATTATTTTAAAGTAAAAATGAAACTCAATAGTGCATTTAATCCTTCCTAATAAAATATTAAGTAATACATTATTCGTTCTAAATGAAAAGAGGTTATTTTTTTTATTTAAATATATTTAAATAAATGAAATTAATAGATACTAAATAAAAATATAAAAATAAAAAAGTGCAAAATGATAACGACTCCATGTAAATGAGAACAGAGTCATTATTAGTCGACTAAGTTTAGGAGATTGCGATATCCTGTCTATGCGGCTATTAAAATTTGTCGTGTAATAATATCGATAAGTATGTGAAGTAAAAAACAAATTAAATATTCGATGTTATATTAGTAAAATATATTACAAAAACATATCAATTAAAATAAAATACGATATGTCATTCTTTTTTAAGCATTATTCTAAACTAGCGACTCACCCTCGCTCCGCTCGTGTTCGTCCCTACTTACATTTTAAAGTTTAGTATAGATTTCTCAGAAATGAGTTATTTTCCCGTAATAAAAAGTATCCTATATGTTGACCCGGATATCCAGCTATCATCATCCAAATTTTATCAAAATCCCTCCAGTGGTTTTTCCGTGATGCGGTAACAGACAGATAGACAGACAGAAATTCTAAAAACTAAAGATTCGGCCTCTGTATCGATAATAATGTCTATTTCAATAAGATTTTCCAAAAAATATTTAATGTACAGATTCGGTTTAGTTACAATTTTATTATATGTATAGATGAATTTTTTTTAATTTTTGTATCGAACACTGACATTACCGACGTTGGCTGATACCATGGAACTAGATGGTGCTGTGTGTTCATGTCCCAACATATAATAATAATAAAATGGGTATGGGTAATCTGCATACATCTCCCCTCACAATATAAATGCAAACCCTCTTACATAACTGTCGGGTAAAAATCAATCTCCATTTTCTCATGTACATTTTCAGTACAAGACACGTATATTAGTAATAACATTATCGCGAGGCAATCTCTTGCCGCGAGCGGTATAAAATACACCTACATTTTAGTAGGGAACGTAAATAAGATTTTGATATAAATTTATCTCTGTTTTCTTACCTATATTGCTGAGGTAATATCCTTTTGTAATATATTAAAAAAAAAGTAACTTTTTAAATTATCGCGTTCCATAATTATATAATAACTAGCATTGCCCGCAGCTCCGCCCGCGTTCAGATGACCAAAAACCAAATTCTTAGGTTTTACATATTAGTAATAAAATCCCTCCAGTGGTTTTTCTGTGATGCGGTAACAGACAGACAGACAAAAATTCTAAAAACTATAGATTCGGCCTCTGTATCGATAATAAACTATTTCAATAAGATTTTCCAAAAAATATTTAATATACAGATTCGGCTTAGTTAGAATTTTATTACATGTATAGTTAGCACTACGGGACTTAACGCGTGAATTCGTAAGTGGTCACGGGCAGACTGACAGACAGACTGACTCACAGTCTGCCCGTGATCACGGCTGCTGCAACCAAGTCGAAACGTCGGGAACAAAGTATAATATAGCCCCTAACGTATTCAAACGTTAAGTTCCGTAGTGTAATTATTATATAATAAAAGAAATACAAAAATAAAAAAAAAACCGACTGCGTTAAAAGTAAACTAAAAAGATGAGAACAAGTCGACGAAGGAATATAGTATTATGCAGTCGGAGTCCGGAGACATACATACCAACCATACACGCAGCTAATCTAAAACATCTCCGTATGTCTTCTCCGTCTCCGACTGCATAATACCTACCTATTATGTTCCCTCGTCAACTCGTTCTCGTCTTTTAGTTCACTTTTTACGCAGTCAGGTATTTTATTTTCCTATTTTTTTTCATAACAGATTTTTAGTATTGGTCAGTTAGACTTTTTAAGACTCGCCAAAAATCGACATAAAATCAGATAAAAGTTGCTACCCACTTATGGTGACATAGCCTATAACACTCGCCATATTGAGGCGAATCAACGCATAAATCATCAAAATAGGTCAAGCCGTTTAGTAATTACGAGGGAACATAAGACCGCACATACATATATATAGGTCAAACACATAACCCTCCCTTTGACTTCGCCGCAGTCGGGTAAGTAGCAAGTAAACATAATAAACTCAAAGTATTAGAAAGCACACAACTAGGTACGGTTTATGTGCGTCATGTAAATTTAATATTACAATATTTCACGGCGGAGGTGTTACTATCTCTTGCAGCTACATTACGTTCAACGATCGTGTGAAAAGCTCGGTTGGTATTTTCGCGATAAGGTTAGGTGATTAAACACTGTAACAGAATAGTAAATTATGTTTTCTTAGATTTACGCGAATATTTGACATTAAAATAAAACTAGTTGGTTCCCAACGACCAACGTTTCGAATGCTTTATAGCAATCATGATCACGGGAGAGACAAATGTTTTAGATGTCTCAAATTATGCTTTATATCCATAATATAATAAGGCATATTAAAAATAAGGTTGGTATGGGAACTAAAAATCAAAATAAACCCGAGAACAAAATCCGAAATGATAGTTTTATTTAAAATAGTAAATTATGCTTAAAAAACATCCTTTCGATCGGAGACCATCATTTAGTGTAGAATGACGAGACACGAACGTTTTTTATGAAAATATTTTTATTTCTATACTTCTATATATTTTTTAATATGTGTATGTTAGAAAAAGTAAATTAGAAGAAAGTTATCTATATAATGGGCTGGGGTAGTCCAGTGGTGAGGCGTTTGTTTGGCAAACCAAGTCAAGCAGGTACAAATCCCGGGTTTCGTACCTCTGATATTTTTATATGCGAATCATTTTCAATGTGATTATCACTAGTCTTACGGTGAAGTAATAAAACATTGTGAGGAAACCTGCATGTCTGAGAGAACCTAACAAATTTTCGATAGACTTGAAGTCCGTCAAACTGTACTTGGCCTAGCGTGATGGACTATGGCCTAATCGCTCTAGCCCTGAAGGGAGACCCGTTCCCACTAGTGGGACGGCAAAACGGGCTAAGCAAACAGGAAATATGTGAATTCATATACCTACTTACATAAGTACAATATGTAGTACCTATTTATGGTTTGAAAGATTTCGTCTCGGCATATAAGCAATTATTGCATTTATTTTATCGATATCGAAATATATTGCATTTATGGGAATATACGAGAATCAAGTTAAAATTTGCAGACGTAGATATTATATCAAAATACGGCTTCACATGATTAGGAACGTTTGCATCCTAAAAAGGATTATCCTTCTCAGATTGTTTGAAGAGAAAATATATAGCTTTTGCTGACTTTTGACAACGTCTTTTAGTGAAACTAATTTCAATATACGACAGAGGTTTATTAATTTTCTTGAAAAAGTTTTTGAATTTACAATTTCAGTTTTGATATTTTTATCTACATTCCAGGCTCTGCCCACGCCTAAACATGCTTAAAACTTGTTTTTTACGAACATATTTTCTTCCAACTAAATATTGTTGTCTTAAAAATGTATACCTAAATGTGAAATTAATCAAAGTTCTTTTATTTGTCTGTTTACGATCGTATGGCTTTAATTAATTGTATGACAATTTTGACTTACAGAAAGATAACCTAACAAAGAGCTATTTTTTTGTATTTCTTCGTGGATTTATACTCTTTTGTTCCTGAGGTTGCAAAATTGTCTCGAGAAAGACTGTGAC